ATAAAATAGTTGCCGTCAATTTTTCGAGTAAAGTATTAATGTAAAACCTATCTTTCACAAAGTAAATAGATGTTTTGCACTTATGTTCTATAAAATAAATCGATGTTACTCGTATCATGTTTTGATACATAAATGAAATTCGTGAAAGGTATTATTTTACATTTGTGCTATACTCAAAATAACGACCGCAGCAATTTTTTTTCAGGCATATATATCAATCCCCTTTCACAACATTACAATGACTATTTTTAGCGCGATGATAGAAGGAAAAATATCATATACTAAAAAATTCTCTAAATAATGAAGCATATATGGTGAACAAGAACAATTTATGGTACATGACAAATCACACGAGTAAAACAAAAGCGTATAAATAGATCAGCATAATCATATCAATAGCGAGAAAACTCATAGGATATAATATAACAACATATTTTAAATTTAAATGATTTGAAATCAAAAGATCGATTGATCTTTTTATATAAATGATCAACGTCACAGATATTTTTATCATATTTTTGAATATGTTTCTACCATTGAAATTTATTTTTTGGTTTGCATAGAATCGACGATGTCGGAAGAAAAAGGGTGTGGGTGGGTGTGGGTGTGGGTGTGGGTGTGGGTGTGGATGGGGTGTGGGTATGGGGTGTGAGTGTGGGTGTGGGCGTGGGGGTGTGGGTCGGATGAGGGTGAAGAAGTGATAATACTCTCACTCCTACGCCCCACACAACCACAGCCGCACTCACCCACACCCAAACCCACCCACACCCACACCCACACCCCGCACCCACACCTACACCCACATCCACACCAACACCCACACCCACCAACACCCACACCCACACCCTATTCAGAGCATCGATAATACGATTGTTTGCGTGGCCAATTACAATATTCAGTCTGTCTCTTTTTACAATCGCATCACAATCGTCGTCCATCATCTCGTACCATTTATTATTCAAATAGTTTCCATTACTTTTCTTATCATTGCCATTACTCGAAGTCGAATATCACTTTTCTGCAAATGTTAAACAAACAATTTAAAACTCATAAAGAATTGTATTTAACTCCGATTATAATCGTGCTAAGCTTTCTACCACAAGCTGGTTTTGCCTTTATTTTCGCATGAAGTGAATTGAATATTAGTGTTCAACGCTACATAGTTTTGTTCGGTTATTTCTTGTCTTATTTACAGCAGATGCTCGGTTTCGCACTCTACGTATTGCCCTCAAGCAATTACATCAAAGAATTTCTAAACACATGCCTAGGCAAGACAAGATTTATGACGGAACTATCTAAATTGGCTCAGTCGCATCTCAAATAATTATTGATCTGAGAAACGGTTCTCGTTTGTGGGTGTGGATGGGTGAGTGTGGGTGCGCTAATGAGAAAAAGAATAATACCCACACTCATTCATCACAACATCCACCCTCTTCTCTTAATAAAAAACGATTTTCATTGCATAAGGTTCGTGTAAAATACTTCTTTTAAATGATGAGTTCAAATTATTTATAGATACTATTTGTACAGACAACTTGTTAAGAAAGAACGTAATGTATAAGGGCAGTTAAGATGCCACGCGCTGCTTATTTCATCTAAAATTTAACATATTAAGCACGATGAGACCCATCGGTGAGTATAGGTGTGGGTGTGTCACATAAATAATAAACCCACACCCACCCACATCCACACCCACACCCTAACTGGCCGCAACATGAAAGAAAAAATATGTTTCAATACTCCAGTGTGTTCAAAAACGTGCAGAAAAGATTTGTCAAATGGATTTCCGTTCCTAAGAACCCCAAACCAAGTGAGGATCCCGTTTCAAGAAACACGGGAACCCATACTTACTTGTCTCAAAACAAAAGAACCAATCTATCTAAACATCGAAACATATTCGAAAACACGAAGAAATGTGTTGTCAAGTCGGATTCCGTCCCCAAGGAACAGAATCCTAAGGAACGAGAAACTCTGACATCCCTAATCAATGATGACCTGTGTGTGATTTCTACTCGAAAGATGATTCTATACGAACTTTCCGTACCTAAAATGAATGTTAAGAGAAATAAGAACTTGTTTGCAATCGCATCCCTCATTTGACTAATAAGACAAGCATATATTTGTTCTAAGGAGAAGTCTCCTCTCTTTTTCGAAATATTTCTCTATCAGATCAGATGAGAAAAACTTGTTTATGTATTTATTTTGATTGTTATGTATTCAATAATTGTTGAATTTTTGAATAAAGTTTATCATCCCAAATTTGATAACCATAAAGATTGAGATGAACATTGTCAGCTAAATGATCTTGTTGTATTTCTGCAGGTGGTTCCATCCAGTGAACGCGATAGTTCTCTTTTGCTTGTCTGTCCGTTTCTTGGGTGTTAATCGTATTAATAATTTGTTTTATATCCATATTTGATTGTAAAACACATTGTTCATCGACGTCTTTTCGTTTAAAAAGGCCTGTAACAAGTATTTGTGTTTGGGTAGGTAAAAGTCTAAGAGAAGCTTGCAACAGAAGACGATAGTTATCTAAATGTAGACCATGTAACGATCGTTTAGGCTGAAGATTATTAGTGCCTATCTGTATCACAACAAGTTTAGGATTTTTAGCTTTCAACATGCTGAGTAATCCCAATCTAATACGATAGAGTACGTTTTCAATCTTATCTCCGCCCACCCCAGCATTGAAGACTCGTGGATACTGCAGTTGACCGATTTGAGTATCCTTTCCAGTGGTTTTGAATCGTTCCAACATAGAATCGCCAAGAAGAACGACATCGATTTGTGGTGGAAATTCACGTGCGATTGTTGTTAGGGAAGAATTGATCGAAGAAGAACTTTCTAATTGTGGTTGATGAGTCTGAGTATGTGTATCATGAGATCGTTGTTTAAAACGAGCTCGTTCGTTAATCAGACCTTCAAGTTGAGTATCAGAAAGAGACTGACGTTGAAACGATGTTGACGACATTTTTTCAATTATTTATGTTAACCTTCTTTCGATTGTGCACTGTCTTCGAGTGAAAACAGAAAAGAAATAATAATGACAATTATGTAATTACATCCATATATATATTTATCAATGACGTTATAGAAAAACAAGAGAAATGAAAAAGAACAATAAATCTGATGTTATTTCACAGACAAGCCTAAGAACAAATATTTCTACACCTCCACACATTGCATCATCTCTTTCTGTTCTCTCAAACCGTTTCTTTTTTGTTGTGTAACATTAGATTTTTCTGTTCTGTTCTTGTGTCATATAACTCATTGTCATAACGCCCTAATGCAAAAAATCAATTTCACTTTGTTATTCAGTTAACCAGCTGAGTTGTTCACAAAGAGTACATGTTAACAAGTTGAATACATAACAATCAAAATAAATACATAAACAAGTTTNATTAAATTATATTTGCGCATTCTAGGTGCTGAAAAACTAGGGTTTTGGTTTTCTGGAGACCCCGTCTTTACGAATCTAATTAGGATTTTTATTTCCTTATAATCTGGTTGGAAACAGTTTTCTCTACCAGAATCATTATTTGGATTGTTTCTAGCGTTCAAGATAGCGGAAAGAAATTGAAAATATACCTGGTTGAATAATTTTGGTACCCACTGTATATATTACCTTCGAACTCTTCATATGAATGAGATGTTGAATCTATTAGAATGAAAAATTCAAGTTAGGCTTTTATATTTCAGACAATACTAAAACACAACATGAATTTATGAGTAGCTAGGTCAAGCTGTTAGCCATTGAATCCATATGAATTACTACAGAATACCAAATACTTAATGAGAAGACAAACAAGAGTTAATTTAGTCGAACTCTTCAATGCAACGCATATTTTTTATTGATGACCAATACTCTGTAATCAAAATACAATAAGGAATGCACTTTCTTTTTGAATGTTGTAATTACTTAATATTCAACTATTCTTAGTTGTTTCTAAACAAAGATAAAGTGTTGCTGATCTTATGGAATGCCATTATGTTCAATGTTTGTTGTAACATTTTCAATATTATCACTTGATTCGACTTCAAGTGTAATAGATTTTTACATAGATTTGCATAGTTCTTGTATAGTTAAAAGTAATACAAGAGAAAATATAACCATATCCTTCGTGCGAGCTGAATGAAATAACATTGGAAAAATTGTGCCTTTTATACAAGGTTGTGCATAACCTTTTGCTAGGGTAGTAGCCCTATAATATCCAGCTGAATGCCTAATGAATTTTATACGAAACTAAAGAGTGTCAAAAACTACATTTATTAGGACCAAATAGTAAGAGTTATCAAAACATTTTAATGCCGAACTTACGAAATTGTATGCTTGTTTAGCATAAAAAATTGAGGCACCAGCAATTCAAATATAGAATAGAATATTTTCTTTTGATATCTTTGCATGATTCGATAGAGCTCGTGGAGTTCTACAAAACCGTATATATTAAAAGATTTGTAAGCCACCTTGCTAAGAAACAAAAATTCAAAAAATTTCTTGTAAAATCTTCAAAATTTCTGGAAACTCGGTTTTTGTATATGGAAGAGAAACGCTCGATTGTTTTAATAAAATTAGGTTTTTTCATTATTTTTACCAATAAAGACACTTCAATATATACTCATCCGATGCAGCGTGAAAAACTGCGTCTAACGAGTATATCTCGAAGTGTCTTTGTTAGTAAAAATAATGAAAAAACTTAATTTCGTTGAGAAAATCGTGTGTTTTTCTTCCGTATAAAAAATTGCTGGTGCTTTAATTTTCTATGCTAAAAACGCATAAAATTTCCCAAAATTTCGTAAGTTCGACTTTAAAATGTTTTGATAACTGTTACTATTTAGTACTAATAAATCCACCTTTCGACATTCTTTAATTTCGTATAAAATTCATTAAGGGTGTGGGTGTTTATCTTCTTTAAACAACACCTACACCCCACCCCCACTCTCACCCACATCAACACACTCACTCCCACACCCTCTTTTAACCAGTTAGATACACTTTGTTGTTATTTGCCAGAATATTTTTGTAATTTTTCAAGGTTCATAATTAATAGTTGGTTTCGTAAACAATTTGTGATAGTATCTTCTGATTCCTTCAGTAATATAGTTCGTGAGTTAAACTTTTTGGATGAATCCGTCTTTAAGCTCGGAATATCAAAATATTGTAAAAAGTTTTTCATAAACGTGATAAAGGTTGGCATGTCATCTTGTTGTTCAATATACCAAATAAGTGCATCACCAGTTAAAATTTCTGAAATTAATTCATTGCGTTCCGGAGAAGAGAGTTGTAATAAATCAAATTTTTCTATAATATGTTTTAACCAAATTTTTGGATTACTGTGCCTATCAAATTTTTGTATTGAATTTAATTTTTGTTGCATTAAAGATTGTTGTTTTTGATCATTTTCATCTGGTCACTGATCATCTAAATCATGACCTAGCGTGTATGTTGTTAATTCAGTAATAGTTTTAACATTTTTATGAAGATCAAGTGTTGTAAGTGTAGAATCAATATTAATTTGTTCAGAATTTGACATCATTAATAGCTGCTCTTTTTCTTTTTTAGAAGGTAATAGTAAAGAATCAATAGTTGTGTGTGTAAAATCCGTTGTAGATCGAGTAGGTTTAATATTCATCAATGTTATTTCTAGCCAAATATTTGCTTTGCCTATCACGCGGAATTTTTATTTTTGTTTTTTAAAGAAAATATCGACTAGTGCACCATTGTAAAGATTTTGTTTGTTTTTCACCTTAATCCGTTTGTTCTTTACTTCACAAGTGAAAAAAATATCATAGTCTTCTTATACATATCTCTCTAGATATATATGAAAGAAAAAAGAGGAGGATCGTCCATCTATAGTAGATGGCGATCGTGACAGACTTATCTGTTCATTAGAAGAGCACTCAGTCTCTTTCTCTTTGATTCATCGTCAGTTTTTGTAAGGGTTCCTGCACATCACGTTTCTTGACATATGGCATGCTTTCATCTATGTCAAGACTATGAAAAGGGCTCAGTTTGTAAGTTGAAGACATTTTTATTCTTTTTATATGAATTAGTGAGTATCCTTCATTACGGTGATCGTAAAGGTGTGGGTGTGGGTGTGGGTGTGGGTGTGGGTGTGTGGGTGTGGGTGTGTGGGTGTGGGTGTGGGTGTGGGTGTGGGTGTGGGTGAAAGTGGTTACGGGGAAGGAGCAAATCAGATC